GTCATTTCTTTTTTTTTTTATGATGATTTATTGAGCAGACTTCTACATGTATATGTAGATGGCCGTGGTTATACTCGGACAAGACAATATATTATTTGTTATAAATTTAATTTTCAGAACTTGATATTTAAGTAATATGCTGTTAAAGTTTTTATTAAACAGACAAATGAGAGAGAGAGAGAGAGAGAGAGATAACGTTTTAGTCCCCCCTTCCTTTCAGGCTTCACTAAATGTTTGTACCTGTATCAAACAAAAACTCTGAATTTTTTTTTTTTGTTCTAAATATATCAGACAGTGAAAGTAACTTTCTTTTTTATCAACAAATCATATTCATTTGTTTGACTATCATACTCGTTTTTATGTTCCTGCTTCAAGTTCACACGAAGTCCACGTGCTTGTCCTGTCAATCAAAATCATTCGACACTGTGCAGGTGTGAAAGTTTCGTCACATTGAAGACGAAGTGCGAGTATTTCCAACAAGTTATAACATTTATTTTTATCATTTCTAGATTTGATTCCAACATTTGAATAATAAATGAATAAAATACATTTGGCATTAACACTTGAATTTGAAACATACTGTCTGCCAATTTCAAATACCACCGCCGACACGTGTACATTTTGAACTACTAATGTTTTACTTTTTTAGATGCATGTTTGTTTTGAGACTGAAATTTTTGCTCTAAAAAAGACCTTAACTTTTTTTTAAAAAAAAATGTTAATTAAAATATTCTGGAAATGCAGCACTGACTAAGTAACCGATTGAGGGGGGGGGGGGGGGGGGGGGAGGGGGGTATTAATCATATCGAATGGCAAACATATAAAGTTACGGTGAAGAGAGAATTTTTTTCTCTATAACTATAGACTTTACATAATATAGTAGAGAAAATTCTGTAGTGCAGTACATTTTAAATAAATATTTCCTTTAACAACACTATCAATTTATTTCGCTCCAAAGACAATAAATTAACAGGATATCCGCAATACTATGTATAACTCTCAGAACTAGTTCTATCATATTTTCTTTAGTAATTGAAAAAAAAAACGTGTTAGAAATAAATATTTTCGTAATTTTTGCTGCGTAATTATTTGACTTGGATAATTATATCACCATTAACGATTTGTCGTCTTTAACAAAACAACAAAATGTTGCAGTGCTTGAAGTATTTGCACATTGGCCTTAGTTAAATTTAATATTTCCGCATCGTTCTACATAGGTACAGAATGTGCTTATAACAACATTTATTTTCCAGAGTAATTTAATAAATAACCTAACAACTAAGTTAGAATAATAAAAATATATATCGTACATATTTTCCCCATGAAATAATGATTCTTCAAACACGATATGTTAGTTATTAAATTAAAAAACCTGTCCCTCTCGAGAATTTTTCATTCATATTGAGACGTCACCACTTACCGGTGGAGGGCTGCAAATTTATACCTATACTTGGCACTCAGGATCATTGAGCAGTGAGGGATCTTTTTTGTGCCAGCAACTCAAAATTGAACGTACGCTTTGAAGCTTTCACATAAGTATCATCTCTTCTGACCCAGAAGTTCTTGAAAAGAAGATTTTGAAAGATTTTTTTCCCTAAATTATAATTCTATGAAAAACTTAGATCATCTATTGTAGCCACACCTATCCCCCGAGGGATATGATCTGAATAAAACTGAATCTACACTATTCAATGAAGCTTTCATACAAATTTCAACTTTTCTGACACAGTGGTTGTTGAAAATATTTTTAGAAGTCACTAAATTTTCACTTATTCTTAACTACTTCCCTTGACAGAGGATATGGCCCTTCATTTGAACAAACTTGGATCCCCTTTATCCATGGATGCAAGTTTGGCAAGTTTGGTTGAAATTGACCCAGTAGTTCTTGAGAAGAAGCTGAAATTATTAATAGTTTACATACAGACGGACGGCCAGACAAAATGTGATCAGTAAAGCTCACTTGAACCTCCAGTTCAGGTGATGTAAAAATGTTATTTTTTGCGTTATTCTTATATTATTATTAACAATAAATTATTTTATAATATTATATCGGCATATGATCGAAGAATAAGAATAAAGCAAAAAATAATTTCCAAATAATCATTACTACTGAACAAATAAAAATACCTGTATTCAATCTCAAAGTATATAATATTGCAAGAAAAAAAAATAGCTGATTTATCAGATATCTCAAGAATTACGGTATCTTGATATGTCATAGTGATGTACATCTATCCTGGACACAATTTTCTGACCAAAAAGTTTTCTCCCTACAGTATTGCGAGTAATGTTGTCTGTCTCCCTCCGTGCATGTATGTGTTTGTCAATCTCTCTTTCTTTTCTCAAGTGAATATTCGTCAAAACAATATATCGACGACAATATATGCCCACCTTGACTGTACATATTGTCGCCGACGACAATATGTGCTGGTGCTTGACTGTACATTTTGTCATCCATTATGCAGAGGAAAATAAGGCTTGTCTTGGTACATTTTGTCGCCGGCGACAATATGTACAAAATGACAATATGTACCGTCACACCCCACCTTACCCCTGGGGGTCATGATTTGAATAATTTAGAATCTACACTACCCCAGAATAATTCCATATAAGTTTCAGCTTTTCTGGCTCAGTGATTCTTGAGAAAAAGATTTTTTAAAGATTTTTCCTATATATTTCAATGTAAAACTTTGATTCTCCATTGTGGCCCCACCCTATCCCTGGGGGTCATGATTTGAACAATTTAGAATCTACACCACCCTAAAATGCTTCCATGCAAGTTTCAACTTTTCTGGCCCAGTGGTTCTTGAGAAGATGTTTAAAGATTTTCCCTAAATATTTCAATGTAAATCTTTGATTCCCCATTGTGGCCCCACCCTTTCCCCACGGGTCATGATTTGAACAATTTAGAATCTACACTATCCCAGAATGCTTACATGTAAGTTTCAGCTTTTCTGGCCCAAAGGTTCTTGAGAAGAAGATTTTTAAGATTTTCCATATATATTTCAATGTAAAACTTTGATTCCCCATTGTGGCCCAACCCTACCCCTGGGGGTCATGATTTGAACAATTTAGAATCTACACTACCCTAAAATGCTTCCATGTAAGTTTCAGCTTTTCTGGCCAAGTGGTTCTTGAGAAAAAGATGTTTAAATATTTTCCCTTAATATTTCAATGTAAAACTTTGATTCCAGATTGTGGCCCCACCTTACCCCTGGGGGTCATGATTTGAATAATTTAGAATCTACACGACCCCAGAATAATTCCATATAAGTTTCAGCTTTTCTGGCTCGGTGATTCTTGAGAAAAAGATTTTTGAAGATTTTTGCTATATATTTCAATGTAAAACTTTGATTCCCGATTGTGGCCCAACCCTACCCCTGGGGGTCATGATTTGAACAATTCAGAATATACACTACCCCAGAATGCTTCCATGTAAGTTTCAGCTTTTCTGGCCAAGTTGTTCTTGAGAAGAAGATTTTTTAATGACCCCACCCTATTTTTGTTTTTTCTTGATTATCTTCCCTTGCAAGGGGGTTTGGCCCCATCTTCGCTAGCCAAGGGCTTCTGATACGCTACTCTCCTCATAAACCCTTGGCATACGGTGCTGACAAAAGACGGGATTGTTTTTGTCACGTGATCATGATTCTTACCAGGTACGCACAGATTGCGTCATCGACAGAAATAAAGGGTATTTAACAAAATTTTGTTTTTAAAGAATAATTAACAAGAAGGTATTGAGTTATGTTAATTTGTTATTTAAACATGTAAAAATGCAATTCTACATCTTCAGTATAGATTCTTAATCACATATTTTGCACGTTGCTTTAGAAATTGGATGACACCATATTGCTATTCTTAGAATGGCATGTTATCTTACGGATCATTGTTTACTTGCGTTTTACATTACCGATATCAAAGAGTCAAGATATATCCCGAACGCAAATATTGTCATTTACAAAAAACAATTTGCTGATTGGTCGAACGATGTTGATCAACTCCAATCACAACTTGAGAAAAAAATCCCAACTTTTTTTAACACCGTATGCCATGGGCTTATGAGGAGAGTAGCGTATCAGAAGCCCTTGGCTAGCGAAGATGGTTTGGCCCTTCATTTTAAGAATTTAAACTCCCCCTCATCCAAGGCTGCTTTGTACCAACTTTGCTTAAAATTGACCCAGTGGTTCTTGAGAAGAAGTTTAAAATGTGAAAAGTTTACAGACGGACGGACGGACAGACAGACGTACAACAGGTGATCAGAAAAGCTCACTTGAGCTTTCAGCTCAAGTGAGCTAAAAATAGAAAGGGAAAATCTTTTGTCTAATAATAGCACTCAGACCTACTTTATCGAACATGCGAGAAAACGTGATGCAATTTGCATGAAAGTGGCAAATAACTATGTCCCTTGACTGTACACTATCTGAGGATGCTTCCATATCAATACAATGAATCATGCCTTTATTGTTCTTTAGAATATTTATAAGCTTTTCCTATGATCATGGCTTTCCTATTCTTGAAAAAAAGATTTTTAAAAAAAAATTTATACACCTGTATAACACCTGGTCACTCATCCAGAAAATGTAGTCAACTTCCTACTTGAACAGACTGACAATAACCAGCAATTGCTCTTTGAGCAATGAGCCCAGCTACATCTGATAGTAAAGCAAAAGCAAGCAGACACAAACACACACCCTCACAGAGAGAGAGAGAGAGAGAGAGAGAGAGAGAGAGAGAGAGAGACAGGGTATAAACATTTATCTTGACAGGGTTCTTTGCAAGTTAGTAAATTGTATTCCAAATTTTATTCATTTAATTGTTGAAGTCCTTATAACATATGTTATATGCAATTTACTGCAGTTTACAGATAGGCAGATCTGCATACAAGTGAAAAACTGATTATAACGATTTTGGCAATGGTCCTCATATGCCTGTCTAACTAAACCAGTTCATATATAGTTTAAGCAACAAATCCTTTATCTTATTGAGGTTACATGATTTACCAGATCTTTAGCTGTTTGGCTGACATCATCCCACTCTGGGCTTCCAAATGTGTAGTTTGCCTGCATGATCATTCTCAACATCTGCATCTGTTTTCAATGCCAGAAAGGTGGTGCACCACACAGTAAGGTGTACATAATAACTCCACAGGCCCACATGTCCACTTCCATGCCATACCCAGGAACATTATCATACATAGAAACAGCTAGCACTTCTGGAGCTAGGTATCCTGGTGTTCCACACAACTCTACAAGAAAAATTGATAATATAATTTGCATGATTACCATTTTGAAAATATACAAAAGAACTTTCAGGAATTATAAAATTATCACTACCTTCTCAGGGACTGAAATTCAAGCCATTTCCAATGGAAAATTAATAACTTCAACTTTTTCCTAATTTGTTGGGGAAAATTACTAAAATAAAATAGTGAAGTAATTGTCACATGGCTTTAAACTTTGCCAGCTTCTAAAGATAGAAAGATTTATAATTTTATGCATTTATAAATTCATATAACTTATCATCTAAATTAATTGGAAGAAAAATGTTATAATTATTTTCTTTTAAAGCCATTTTCTTTCATAATTCTTGTCAGCCCGAGATCACATCTTCTAGAAATAAATGTAAGTGGTTCATTAACACATAGATCTGCTAGGTGACCATTATGATGCTTTATAATGGGTACAATGGATTCAGTAATCAAAGTATTATTCTATTTAAAACAAGTGTATTTATGAAAACAACTACAGTTATCATTTAAGTTGTCAATGAGCAAATATGGATTGTATTTATGAAAACAACTACAGTTATCATTTAAGTTGTCAATGAGCAAATATGGATATATAAAAAGGTTTGGTGAGCCATATTACCTCTAAATGCACTAAAAGAGTATTCCAACTTCTTTACTTCCTTCTTTTTCCCAGTTAAATTCAAATAATAAAGAGAGCATTTTTAATTCATTTGTATAAATGCGTTTTAATTTTGAAGACTTAGTGATAATTATACCCACACTTTCTAAAGAAAGTTCGGGTATATTGTTGTTATTCATGTCTGTCCGTCCGTCTGTCACACTCTTATTTCTCAAACTCCTCTTACATTTTACACAGTAGCTTAATCATCTTTTGGGATATGTTTGGTGGTGTCATGTAGATGTGCAGTAAAGTTTCGGAATTTTCATTTTCACCCTGGGGGTCAAATGGGGGTCGAAAAATGACGTTTTTTATGCAAAAAGCCCCTGGTTCCCTTAACTCCTCTTACATTTTACACAATAGTCTAATCATCTTTTGGGAGATGGTTAGTGGTGTCCTGCAGATGTGCAGTAAAGTTTCGGAATTTTCATTTTCACCCTGGGGGTCAAATGGGGGTCGAAAAATGACGTTTTTTATGCAAAAAGCCCCTGGTTCCCTTAACTCCTCTTACATTTTACACAATAGTCTAATCATCTTTTGGGAGATGGTTAGTGGTGTCCTGCAGATGTGCAGTAAGGTTTCGGAATTTTCATTTTCACCCTAAGGGTCAAATGGGGGTCGAAAAATGACGTTTTTTATGCAAAAAGCCCCTGGTTCCCTGAACTCCTCTTACATTTTACACAGTAGCCTAATCCTCTCTTGGGGAATGGTTGGTGGTGTCCTGCAGATGTGCAGTAAGGTTTCGGAATTTTCATTTTCACCCTGGGGGTCAAATGGGGGTTGAAAAAAGATGTTTTTTATGCAAAAAGCCCCTGGTTCCCTGAACTCCTCTTACATTTTACACAGTAGCCTAATCGTCTTTTGGGAGATGGTCGGTGGTGTCATGGATATGTGCAGTAAGGTTTTGGAATTTTCATTTTCACCCTGGGGGTCAAATGGGGGTCGAAAAATGACGTTTTTTATGCAAAAAGCCCCTGGTTCCCTGAACTCCTCTTACATTTTACACAGTAGCCTAATCCTCTTTTGGGGGATGGTTAGTGGTGTCCTGCAGATGTGCAGTAAGGTTTTGGAATTTTCATTTTCACCCTAAGGGTCAAATGGGGGTCGAAAAATGACGTTTTTTATGCAAAAAGCCCCTGGTTCCCTGAACTCCTCTTACATTTTACACAGTAGCCTAATCCTCTTTTGGGGAATGGTTGGTGGTGTCCTGCAGATGTGCAGTAAGGTTTCGGAATTTTCATTTTCACCCTGGGGGTCAAATGGGGGTCGAAAAAAGATGTTTTTTATGCAAAAAGCCCCTGGTTCCCTGAACTCCTCTTACATTTTACACAGTAGCCTAATCGTCTTTTGGGAGATGGTCGGTGGTGTCATGGATATGTGCAGTAAGGTTTCGGAATTTTCATTTTCACCCTAAGGGTCAAATGGGGGTCGAAAAATGACGTTTTTTATGCAAAAAGCCCCTGGTTCCCTGAACTCCTCTTACATTTTACACAGTAGCCTAATCTTCTTTTGGGAGATGGTTGGTGGTGTCATGTTGATGTGCAGTAAGATTTCGGAATTTTCATTTTCACCCTGGGGGTCAAATGGGGGTCGAAAAATGACGTTTTTTATGCAAAAAGCCCCTCGGGTTCCCTGAACTCCTCTTACATTTTACACAGTAGCCTAATCATCTTTTGGGAGATGGTTGGTGGTGTCATGTTGATGTGTAGTAAGGTTTCGGAATTTTCATTTTCACGATGGGGTCAAAAAGGGGTCTAATAATAACCTTTTTTATGCAAAAAGCCCCTGGTTCCCAGAACTCCTCTTACATTTTACACAGTAGCCTAATCTTCTTTTGGGAGATGGTTGGTGGTGTCATGTTGATGTGCAGTAAGATTTCGGAATTTTCATTTTCACCCTGGGGGTCAAATGGGGGTCGAAAAATGACGTTTTTTATGCAAAAAGCCCCTCGGGTTCCCTGAACTCCTCTTACATTTTACACAGTAGCCTAATCCTCTTTTGGGAGATGGTTGGTGGTGTCATGTTGATGTGTAGTAAGGTTTCGGAATTTTCATTTTCACGATGGGGTCAAAAAGGGGTCTAATAATAACCTTTTTTATGCAAAAAGCCCCTGGTTCCCAGAACTCCTCTTACATTTTACACAGTAGCCTAATCATCTTTTGGGAGATGGTTGGTGGTGTCCTATAGATGTGCAGTAAGGTTTCGGAATTTTCATTTTCCCTCTGGGGGTCAAATAGGGGTCAAATTTTTTAAAAAAAATATTTAACATGTTTAAACATCCTGGTTCCCAGAACTTCCCTTATATTTTATGCACTAGCCTTAAATCATGATCATTTGGAAGATGATTGATTTTGTCCTGTGGATGTGTAAAATGGTTTTAAAATTTGCATTTCCATGTGGATAGCAAATAGGGGCAGGAAAAAATGGCCCCTCCCTAACCCATGGGGTCATGATTTGTACAAACTTGAATCTACACTTCTTGGGAATGTTTCCATATTAATCATGCTTTTGTTGTTCTTAAAAAGAAGAATTTTGAAGATTTTTTTTCCTTTTAAATCTCTATAAAACTTTGATCCCTTATTGTGGCCTGACCCTATCCTCGGAGGTCATGATTTGAAAACAAGAAATATGTCCATAGGACATAAATGTCCTGCGGAATGTATATTACTAATGCAACATGAAAATTTTTATGAGTGTATGAAGTTTGATGAGAATATCTTGAACAGTTTCTATAAAATTGAAACTAAAATCTAAAAAAAAAATGGATATAGATGATAAATTCTCACAAAATTATGTATAAGTGGATGCTTACATAAAAATATCCTAGATTGTTTCTTTAAAACTAAGCAAAATACAAATTAAAGAGAAGGGAGGTCAAGGTCACAGGAAAGTGCAAGGTGAAAAGTTTTTGATGCAGTTGAATAGCTCTCGCTAATACATATCAGCATATAAGGTTTGATAAAAATATCTTGAATGATTTATTTAAAACTGAGCTTAACACTTATTTGAGAAAAGAGAGGTCAAGGTCAAAGGAAAGGTTGATGTCAAAATGCTGATGCAGTTGAAAAGCTTATATCAGTATGTATTTACTATTAGCATAAAAGTTCAATAAAAATATCAGAAATGGTTTATTTAAAACGTAGATAAACACTAATTTAAAAAAGTGAGGTCAAGGTCAAAGGAAAAGTCAAGGTCAAAAAAGTTTATGCAATTGATTTCTCTCAGCAGTATATATCAGCATATGAAGTTTGATAAATATATCTTGAATTGTTTATTCAAAACTGATCTAGACACTAATTTAAGAAAAGTAAGGTCAAGGTCAAAGGAAAAGTCAAGGTCAAAAATTTTGATGCAGTTGAAAAGCTTACATCAGTATGTATCAGCATATGACGTTTTATTGAAGTCGAACATGACAAACACTATATGCCTCGGCCATATTCATGGCAGGGCATAAAAAACTTGAATCTACACTATATGAGGATGTTTCCATATCAAAATGACTAACAAGCAAATTCAAAGAATTGTGGTCCCCTGCTTTCCATGTCTTAGTGGATGGGATGCCATTATTTATGACATATTGTTTCAAATATGCAGGCCTTATCATATGTCATTCAAAAGTAATTACCAAAGTTAAAATTTTTGAAAATTAGGTAAAACATTAAGGGCAAGGGGTAAAAAAAACATAGCAAGCTTGGAAACATCTTGTTACAGGTAATGTACATGTCAAATATAAAAGTCCTATCTCTTCTCAATCAAAAGTTATAAGGAAATATAACATTTTTGAAAAGTAGGTTAAACTTCAAGGTCAATGTCACAGAGTCAAAAGTCATGATATATTTTGAAAGGTCTTGTCACAGGTAATATACATGTATAATATGAATGCCCTATCTTTTCTCTTTCAAAATGATCATTTAAAATAATGTTAAATTTTTTGAAAAGTAGGTCAAACTTCAAGGTCAAGGTCATGGGTTCAAAAATCATGGTATGTTTAGAAAGTTCTTGTAGGTAATGTACATGTGAAATATGAAAGCCCTATCTCTTATTATTCAGAAGTTATGACCAAGGTTAAATTTATTGTGACAGATGGACAGACTGACAGACAAATGAGATTTAATGTCCCCTATGTCCCTTTTGTGAAAACGGACGACAATAATGCCCTTGCTGTTCATGAGAAGAAGATTTATGATGGAAAAAATCACCTGCATTTTTCTATGTAAATCATTGGATCCCCATATGTGGCCCCACCCTACCCCAGTGGGTCATAGTTTTAACAAATTTGAAGCTACACTAAGTCTATGTAAAGAAAGTTTCAACTTTTTGGGCCCAGTCAGTGGTTCTT